ACAGGGATCACTATGTCATAAGTATCTTCACCAATATTTGCATAAACCTTGCAACCAGTTGACAAGCCTTCAATTTCAGTAGCTGTATCTAAAGTAATGATCTTCTGACCCTCCATTAGATGTTTTGATTCTAAACCTGGATCATTAGTGTTTCTAGTAATTATATCTGAAACTTTTAAAGAATTGGAAAGTGGCTCTTGCAGAAGTGTAGGGATCTGCATCTTCTGTACCAGTGATCCATCAAAAGTGGCATTTTTGGGAGTATCAGCCTGTGGGACCAAAGATGTATTACTGACAGCCGAATCTGGACTGGAGCTAATAGTGTCGTCATCATCATCTATAATTTCCTCCTCCTCGTCGTCATTGGCCTTGTTTCCTTTCAAAACAGTACTGTTTGATGTCTGCTGATTCTGCACAAGTAAATTGATTAAGGAGGCATATGATTTGGAAGTGAAGGACTGACATTTGGTGGCGTAGTATGTGGTGCCTGATTTAACAGAATGATGTTAGGAGTCAGACGTGTCTGGGCAGAAGATACCAGCACTTTTTCACTTCCTTGTGTTTGGCTCAGAGTTGCCTGGTTCACAGGAGTAGGAAGTTTCTGAGGAGGTGTGTTATTTGTTAAAGCGGGCGTTATTGCTAGCACAAGGTGCAACATCTGAAATAGCATCAGAGCCTGAGTTAGGCGGGGCCTGTGCCACTTCACTGGTACTTGGCAAAGTCTCCTTTGCAGGCAGAATCTCAGAGCGGAAAATAATATCATCATCACCATCATCATCTGAATCAGTAACAATAATCTTTTTTGTCTCATAATCTTCAGCAGATAAGGAAAAAGACTCTGTTATAATAGGCGTTATAGTTGCCCCATTATCTTGAGTTTTGTCTTTTGATTTTTGTACTTCAAGGTTCCTGTCACTAGAACCAGAAGGTAAGGTTTCTGAATTACCATCCTGAGCTGTATGTGAGATGCTTTTAACCTGTGACAACGGGACACCAAGCTCTGCTATAAACTTAACTCCTAACAACTGCCCTGATTTAATTAACTCGTCAAGTAAATCTGATCTAACTCGAACAATTTTAGAACTATAGATATAATTGAGAATTTCTGCAAAGATCTCTGCTCTTATAAAGCTTAGTTCAACAACTTGCCCAGCAACTGAGAAGAGCTGATGGAAGTAAATACTAGAAGCAGAAAGAATATTCCTGTGGGCCCGGAATTTTCGGTCTTCCACAATAACGGTAACATCACAGAAGAGTCCATGGCCATGTTGCTCATTCAAGGAGTTCAGCAGACTGCCAGAGTATTGAATGTCTATAGCAGAAATCAGTTTTCTACTCTCCATGACTGCTTTTCCGCGTCGCCGCTTCTCCTCCTCAGGCCACGCGGATGGGTGGGCGACCTCCAACAGCAAGAGGCCAGACTCCCGCGATGATTTGATGATTCGGCTCCTCCTCTAACCGTCTCTCCACTCTTGGGCAATGTCAGCGCGGCTGCCGCCACCGCCACCGCTGCAACCGCTGCTCCACTTTTGCCGACAGAGGGCACAGAGTGGGCGAAGCGCTGGAATCGAAGGCCCCTTCCACCTCCGAGCGCCTCGGTTCTTTCAAGAAAACTTTTTATTAACATTTTCCAAACAATCTGTATGCTCATCACTCTCATTTCTTAGTTGGAGCATGTGTGACCACATTGACACAAAAAGCTTTGGATAATCGAAACACAAGGAGGGGATCAGGACTTGGGGAAGGGAGCAGGGAGGAAGAAAACGATGCATCACCTTTCTTCTAGATTTACTTTGTCACAAAGATACAGATCTCAGACTACAGAGGTTGCAGGTAGTTTAAACTGGACTGAGTCTTCTCATGTGACAGTATTTTCTTTCAGTCTGCAGTTCTTCTGTAGACTATCAATAGAGACTACAGAGCAGTCCTGTCCAGTAGAACTTTCTGTGATAATGGCAATATTTCTCTGCTCTATCCTACACACTAGCTTCTAGCCACATGTAACTGTTGATCATTTTATTTTTATTTTAAAATAATATGTGGGTTTTTTTTGTGTGTGTTTTTTTAGAGAGGAAGGGAAAGGAATGAAGAGATAGAAGCATCGATGAGAAAAACATTGATTGGCTGCCTCCTGCATGTCGCCTTCTGGGGATTGAGCCTGCAACCCAGGCATGTGCCCTGACCTGGAATCCAACCAGGATCTCTTGGTTCCTGGGTGGATGCTCAATCACTGTGCCACACCGGCTGGGCAAATTTAAGTATTAATAGCCATATATAATCAGTTGCTGACATGAACAATGCCATTTATAATACCTCCTTTGATTGACTTCATCTCACAGCCATATGCAGAATTCAAGTGCCTTTTTCAAATCCTTTGATGAATGATTCTAAAGTTTTATGGCAGTCTGCGCCCCAAAACCAGACAATTCAATTCTTTCCTGTATGTTCATGTTGCCTTTTGAGATGGTGTCCCAGCACTGGAGCTCAGAGCAAGTGAGTCTCTGTGGGCCCTTTAAGAGGAACCCCTGGGACTCCAGCAGTTCTCTAGCTCACTCAGCCATAATCCCTGCTGGTTTTCACAGCCAGAGGTTATGGGGACTTCTCTTTCTGGCTCTGGAATCCTGGGCCGGAGGGCATGGTTTGGAGCTGGGATTTCTCATTCTTCAAAGGGGACCTCCACAGCTGAGATGCCCTTCCCCATTTTTAACTGCAACAGGTAGGTGTGGGACCAGCTTGCTTGTTCCATGTCTCTGTCCTTATTATCAGTCTGCATGGCTGCTTTTTTATATCCTTAGTTATAGGACTTCTGGTCAGCTAGACTTCAGGTGGTTCTCAATGATTGTTCTGTAGATTAATTGTAATTTTGATGTGATCATGGGAGAAGGCAAGTACAGCATTTATCTACACTGCAGTCTTGACCAGAAGCCTTTCCTAATTCTTCCATTGCTGCCCTTCCAAGTTTCAGCCTTCTCTTGATTTCATGGCTGTAGTCTCCATTTGGAAGTCAGCTATGCTCACCACTATACCACCAACACTGAAGTCTCCATTTGAGTTGATGACTAAACCAAAGTAAGCAAAGTCTTTAACAGTTTCATGTCTACTTTTAATTAAATGGTTGATTCCTGGATCAGATTAATATGTATATAAGTTATTCATGACTGTTAGAAGCAAAAGCTACAGGCAGTGTTTTTCTAAAACCAATCACTAGAGGGGGCATGCAGGCTTCTTTCACTGTGGCTGGGGCCTGGCTCCTCTAGGAGGTAGCCAACCGTTGCAGTCCATTGGAATTAATTGGCCTCAGTGCCTGGTGATCCAGGTGGCTGCTTGCCATATACCATCAAGACCTGAACCATCTTTTTTTTTTTTTTTAATATTTTTTACTGATTTTTTACAGAGAGGAAGGGAAAGGGATAGAGAGGTAGAAACATCGATGAGAGAGAAACATCCATCAGCTGCCTCCTGCACACCCCCTACTGGGGATGTGCCCACAACCAAGGTACATGCCCTTGACTGGATTGAATCTGGGACCCTTCAATCTGCAGGCTGGTGCTCTATCCACTGAGCCAAACCAGTCAGGACCTGAACCATCTTTTGCTAGCTAGTGCAGTTCAAGGCAGGAATCACATTTATAATAGAAATTGTTGAAGTGCTCTTTAATCCTTATATCTGAATATCTCAATAGAGTTTTTCTCTACCATTCTTTCATAGAAAGGAGATGAAAGATACTAGCCCTTAACTGATCCAGATCTAGTAATGCAAACTGGAGTGTCATTAATTTGGTTAAGTACCTCCATTACTAGAGTCCCTGAGGGTATTGTAGGAATCATTCTTTATTTCACATCACAACTTTATTCAGCAAAATGGTAGTATTGAGATTCAACTTGAATTCACTTTGACACTAAGTCTCGTGTCATATTTTCTTTAGCATAATTTTCCAAAGTATTTGGTTCTTTAATCGTTTTAATTTTTTGCTTAAGGCATTTAATTCTCAATAACTACAATCTGGCTTACAGCCTGGGTCTCTTCCTTAGGTCTCTCTAAGACAGCGGTTCTCAACCTGTGGGTCGCGACCCCCAACGACCCTTTCACAGGGGTTGCCTAAGACCATCGGAAAACACATATATAATTACATACTGTTTTTGTGATTAATCACTATGCTTTAATTATGTTCAATTTGTAACAATGAAATTGGGGGTCACCACAACATGAGGAACTGTATTAAAGGGTCGCGTCATTAGGAAGGTTGAGATCCACTGCTCTGAGATGTACAGCTATGACTACCAGGCATAGAGGAAGGACTTGCCTTCAAGACCCAGCCTGGGCAGGTCTGTAAATATCTTGGGGTCCCTAAAAGGGACTTTTTTGTGCTCAGATTACTCTTGGGATTTGCCACCATATTTGGGACATGACCTCTGGGGCCAGCAAAGCTCAGAGTGGAAGGGTTGTCAGGTTTCCCTAATATCTGGAGTGTGGTTACCGTGACTGCTTTCAGAGCATGGAATCCTGACTCATGTCTCCCAGTGTTCAATAGCTGTCTCTCCCTTGAACTTCTTCTGTAAGTCAGTGCTACCCTATCCTTTAATTTATCCTTATACTATAGGCCCAGTATAAGAAATTTGAGCATGGGTGGGGGGGTGGTCCCTCAGCCTGACCTGCAACCTCTCATAGTCCAGGACCCCTTGCTCCTTACTGCCTGCCTGCTCGCTGCTACATAGCGCTACCACCGCTGTGCTTGCCAGCCAGATGTGAGCCTGGCTTCTGGCTGAGCGGTGCTCCCCCTGTGGGAGCACACTGACCAACTGGGGGAAGTTCCTGCATTGAGCGTCTGCCCCCGGTGGTCAGTGCGCATCATAGCGACCGGTCGTTCTGGTAGTTCTGCCTTAATGGTCGCTTAGGCTTTTATTATATAGATTTATGCTTGCTTTGTCTTAGTTGTTGGGGATACACAGGTATGAATACAGTGTAACTGCTATGGTAGTGGGGACATAGTAGAGAGATACTGAAGTGTCAGAATTTGAGAATTTGTCCATAGGAGATTACAGTGGGTTTAATGTAAAGGAAGAGTTGGCCAGATGCAGGTGAGTTAATGCTAGGTAGAAGGATTATGTGCTGAGGCATGGAATAGGAGGTAGCCTGATGCTTTCCTGTGTAGTCTTTGCAGTGGTGTTTACGGTAGTCCCCCCTTATCCGTGGGGCATACGTTTCAAGACTCCCAGTGGATGACTGAAACCATGGATAGTACCGAACTCTGTATATGCTATGCTTCTTCCTCCTCATTCTCTTTTGCCGCCTTCTCTCCTGGCCCCTTAAATGCAGGTGCTTTATGGCGTTGTCCTGGGTTCTTCACTTACCCTGCACTTGGTCTCTGGGCTGTGCTAGCCACTGTGATGGTTTCATATAACTCCTTGAGAATAAACCCAGCTCTGGTCTTTTTCTTTAGTTTTAGACGAAATTAAGACTAAAATTACACAGTCTGCTTGATAGAATTTGTTTTTTTTCAAAGTACCACACACTTGGCCCTGGCCAGGTAGCTCAGTTGGTTAGAGTATCAACCCAATACTCTAGGGTTGTGGGTTCGAACCCCAGTCAGGGCACATATAAGAATCAGTCAGTGAATGCATAAATAAGTAGAACAGTAAATCGATGTTTCTCTCTTTTTTCCCTTCCTCAAACCAATCAATCAGTAAAAGTACCACAAACTTAAATTTCAGTTAATATATGTTTTCCAAACAGGCTAAAAACGTGACAACAAACTTTAACTCTTCCCTTGCCTTCCCCCATCCTCAGCAAACCTAGGCAGTTGTCAGGTTTGTTGACTGCTAGACCTGGGGGTGACCAAGAGCATTTCATATGTCCAGACCCTCTTTGCCATCCCTGCTGCTGCTGCCCAAGTTCACGACTTTGTTTTCTCTCACTGGGGAGTGCTACAGTGTCTTTGCCTCCATTTTCTCGGGTCTTCCAGAATTGCTTCAGTATCAGCTTGAGCATGATGGTCCTTTCTGTGGTTGCTCTCCAGTGAGTACAGAGTCTGTACTCTCCAGCTCTTGGTAGAGGGGACCCTTAGCAGTCTTGTCCGAGAAGACTCTGAACCTTGTGTCCCACAACCGCTCTAGGAGCCAATTCCCAAAGCTCCATGAATGTTTGTCTTCTGGGCATTTACTTGTGTGTTCCTGCCTTGACTGCCCATGCTGTTTATCCTTTCTGCCTAAAAAGTCCTGCAGAGTCCAGTGCAAGGGTCTGCTCTGTGAAGTCGTCTTCTTCAAGTTGAGAGTAAATGTTTGGGGAATTATGAGGAATAGAACTGGACTACAACTTCAATAGTAATGACTACTATTTATGGAGAAACTACTGTGTGACAGTCACCATTATGAACACTGCGAACACTGAAAGCAGATGATTAAGAACATGAGCTTTGGTGGTAGAGTCCCAGCTCTGCTGTTTACTAGCTGTGTAACCTTGGACAAGTTATTTCCACTCTCAGCGTCAGTTAAGTCCGACAGTTAAATGTGCTTCTCTAATGGAAAGTAAGCAATAAATGGTGGTTACTGCCACTGTAAATGGAAAGTAAGCAATAAATGGTTGTTGCTGCCACCTCCTCAGCCCTTTTGAGATAGTAAATATATCATCATGCATGTTTTACAAATGATGAAACTGAGGCTTAGGGAGTCTGGGTAACTTGTACTGCTTCCTGAAACACATGACTCTGGGATTTGTGGCTTACTTATCTTTTTATTCTATAGTGTCTTTAAACTCAGTAAGTATTGATTGCATTTAAAAATGTATCTGGAACTCCAGGGTCAGATTGAAAGAAAAATTTAGAAATTGTTACCTGCATAGAGTGGTAATTGACGTTGTTCTCTTAAGTCCTGTCATCTTTGAGCATCCACGCATTTCAACCACCCCTTCAGCAGTGAGCTACATAGTGCCATGTGACAGGTGGCAGTGATCTTCAACTGTTATTTAAATCTTTTTAAAATTTGTTTGTATTTGTCTTCTTTCCCCAACTGGTTTGTAAGCTCTTTGAGGGCAGAAGACTGTACTGTGTACTACTATGTATATTCACTCCTGCTCCCTTAAAGTCGTCTTGTTTACTAAGATAATAGGTCAAACTTCAGTAAGAGTTAATCTCAAAAAGGAATTCTTAAGCAGTGACCAACCAAGATTATTTTGTTATTTACTTTCTATTATCTGAATTAAGGAAACTTTTCTTACATTTTCCAAATAAAATTTATTAAACTTTCATCTCTAATATTTGTTACATTTATTACAATCTACGCCTCTATGATCTGTAGGATTCTAATACACGTTTGTACCCTTGAGTTTCATTTTACAGTTGAGGAAGCTGAGGGCCATGTTCCAAGTGGTTCTCCCACTTGTCTTGCAAACTGTTCTCTAAACAACTTGGTAAGGAATCAAGATCCTCAGGGGTCTGAGAGTTTTAAGTGCTTTGTAATTTATTTTTATTTATTTTTTGACAGAGCTGAAAAACTTCAGCTGCTGAATCACAGGCCTATGACTGCTGTTGAGATCCAGCTGGTGAGTGAAGGAGGCTGCTCTGTGTGTCGGGAGTGGGGGTGGGTGGGTTGATTTATGGGTATGAGATGTAGAAAGGGTGATACAAAGGCTGACAACAGACAAGCCAGGAACTGACATAACTTGAAAAGACAGGCCACTCCATTTTATATGAAATTTGGTCCTAGTTAGTATGGACTTAGGTAAAGTAGAAGACGAAATTTAATTCCTTCTACATGGTTTAGGCCTATGATTTGGTAGCTCTTTGTCTCACCTGATGTCCTACGTGATTCTGGCCATTGCTCCCCTGGTAGGATTATTGTCAACCCAGATGTTGCATACAAACATTAGACTCGACATGACTCTGCTGGAATTCATCTCTCCCACTCCTACCCTTTGACCTGCTCTTCCTGAATTTCTTTTCTTGGTTAATGGAGCATATGTGCACTTTCCCACATGCTTTCTTTCTTACCCTCCTGGCCCAGTCTCCTAAGCCAGAAACCTGGAAGTCATTCTCTTCTTTTTATCACATTCAGTTAGTCCTCAGGTTCTGTTGTTTCTATTTCTTAGTCTCTGTTATCATTTCTCAACTCGGCTCTTGCAGTTATCCCCTCACCATTCTCCCTGTTCCAGTCTGGCCCCTTCAGTCAATCTTCCACAGCACTATGTAGTTCATTTTCTAAAACCACAAATTTGATGATCTTATTTCCCTGCATAAAACCATTCAGAGGAGCCTCATCACTTGAAAAGTCTAAATTGCAGTCACAGCATAAAGCTTCAGAATTGTGGGAGGCAACTGGAGTAGAAAGCTGAGGTGGTTTAAGGAGAATGAAAATGAGGTCCAGTGATACAGATGAGTGTCTGCTGTATTGGCCTGCTGTTTCCTTCCATTGTACAGAGCAAAGAGCATCATTAAGCTACAAATATTAGGCAGGCCATTCAACTGACAGTGAAAAACTTTGGCTGGAGAATTAATAAAATGAGAATAAAACTGTTTCCAAAGTCAGTTTTAGAATTATTTAGTACTTTGTCAAATTTCCTTCAGAAAAGTGTAGAAGAAAATGGCCAATAATACCCATGACCTCTAGAATTGTTTAAAAAACAAAACAAAAAAACTTTCCTTAAAGGGTCATGGGGTATTTAATTTTTGACTAAAACTTACTGTCTTTGTAGTGTTACTTTTGCCCTTCAGAATGTACTCAAAATTTAGAAAAGTTCCTTCCACAAAGGGTGCCTTTCTGGGTAACTGGTCTTCAGGATACACAAAGACTCCATTTTAAACCCTCATTATTCTTATGCTTTCGACTGTGTGTATGTTGGAGATTCAACTTGGAAAAGAGAAAAAACAAACAAAACAGCAAGAAACTAATTCCTTTCCCTCTGGGGGATTACATGGCATGTCTCCTCCAACTTTAATCAGCAACATATGTTATTCATGGCTTAAGGACAGATGGAGAAGAGATGAGGAGGATTAGTGTGACCTCATCCCAGAGCCTGTACAAAGCTCTATCATTACTTGAAAATTAGCTGCTATTAAGAATACCTATTGTATGCCAGACGTGGTGCTAGGGGCTTTGTATATGTTACCTTTAATGCCTCCATCATAATCTTGGCTAGTGAGTGGCTGATTCGGCTCTGTCTAATTAACAAGTCTTACTGTGTTCCTCCAAGCCATGTACTTTTGCATCCCCTCAGACTGTTCTTTCTCTTTTTCTTTCCTTGGTGAAAATTATGTGTGTTGTTTCCCAGTAGTTGGGCCATATTATATCCAGAGTTTTCTAAGCCTGGGATTTGGCTGTAAAAGAGAGCAAATCATTTACCAAGGCTTGTAGCAGTATCTCTTCTCACCAGAGTGGAATAAGAAGTTGGGTTTTCACAGAGAGTGGAAACTGCAGAGGACTTGAGACTTTCCTCATCTAAAGCTTACAATTTAGAAGTAATCTCAGCATCTAACATTTGTTAGTATTCAGTTTTAGGGGCTGATTTCTCTTTTTCAATTACACCTCAGCCATAATTTGTTGAAATCCTCAGATCTGTCTGAAGAAGAGGAAGCCACCCAGCTTCTGTGACTTTTCTTCCCTTTTGAGCCCTCTGGTCTGAAGATAGGACAGTGAACCCATGACCTCACCGGCCATGGTCCTGAACAGCACTGCCATCTCTGCCTGTTATAATGTAGTGACTATAAAATGTCTTGAATTATATAGAGTTTTATGGCTTACAAAAGACTATAGTATTTGTTCTTGTTTGGTCCTGACTATACACATTACTTTCATTTTATATTAGAGAAAATGGAAATTTACAGAGGTTGGGTGAACTGTTCCTGGGTCAAGTAGCTAAAAGTGTCAGTAACTATTAGATTTTGAGATGTTTGAGGAAAGTAGGAGGTTAGGCCTGACAGCTTAAAATGAGAAACAGTTCATCAGCTCAGTTTGACAGCTCCTGGGTATTGATATAATCTTTGTATATGATTAAAGACATTTGTCATTTATGTTGACCCATCTGCAAATACTTTGGATTTTAAAATTTCATTTGCCTTTATATTCTGAATAACTTGAAACCTTTGGTATCAGAATGTTGAGATGGTGCTTTGCACTTCTTTATTTGGGCCTGAGAATCTTGGATTGAAAAGAAAACTTCCTGACTAATTATCCCCGAGGATCATGTGCGAATCAAAGCTGCTCCTGGCAAATTTGGCTAAATGGAAAGCTCATCAGCCCTCTTGCCTAAAACACACCTCCCTGACACCTGATGTTAGTGTTGCATCTGCCAAACCCAGAGATTGGGATGCAAGAAGGTGGCCTATTGAGGTTCTCTCTGTTTGGTTTTCTGAAAGGGAAGGCCTCTTAGAGGTCGCATAACCAAGCCTTAACCAGTGGACTTTATAGTAGTCTGCTGTATAGCATAGCATCTCTGAGAGAGGAAATGATAGAACCTCCTAGTGGAAGGCATGGTGTTCTAGAAAGAGCTGGGATGCAAAGTCAAAAACCTTGCCCCACTTGCTTTGAGATCCAGGTCAAGTTTCCTTGTAACGCTGAGCATCCACTTACCAGTAAATTTGTCCTGCCTTGATGTGCAGTGTTCTTGAGAAGCTCTGGGGGCAGTGATTCAGTGACAGCCCCTCACAGTCTGTGGGGCGCTACACAGATACTAGTGGAGGCTGTCGCTCTTCTGACAGTAGTTCACCATCAACTGCATATGCCAGTTATTCATAAACTTGGAGACATTCTTCTCAAATGGAGATCATCATTTCTCAGGATTAAATCAGATTGGATATATCCCTCCTTCCTCTTCCTTCATTCTTTGGAGGCAGTCTGTGTTAGTCCTTTCATGGACCCGTTTTGCATGTCTGATTTTAAAAATGGGCTTTGGGGGTTGTTTCTTGTTCAGCTAAGAAGTTACATTTTATTGAGCCTTTGAATCATTGGACAGTGGACATTTTATTTCACAGTGTGATGGGATTTAACTTCATTGGTTCACTTGGTATCTTCCCCACCCTAGACCTCCCGGGGTTATTCTCTAGTTGTGGAAACATTTTTGGACTAAGATGAATGAAGAGACTAATGTTTTTTCAGGAGTTTGCAGTATGATCTTGGATGTGTCACTGGACTTCTTTTGTTTCTATACTGTTAATTGTAAAGTGAGGCAGTGGACTGATTTCAGGATTGTAAGTCTAGCTTGCTATCTTTCTTTACTTAAATCTGCCGGATTTCTTTCTAGAATTCCTTTTGGTCTTACTTGCCAGATGTCAGAGATTGCTGCGGGAAATGCTTTGGAATAGGACCCTGGACACCTTTAGCTGAAAAGATTGTTTGCAATAGACAGCTAATGCCACCAAGTGAATGTGCTTAAACAATGTGACTGCCTACATATTTTTAAAAGGGAACTGACGCCCTAATCGGTTTGGCTCAGTGGATAGAGCATCGGCCTGTGAGCTCAGGGGTCCCGGGTTCGATTCCGGTCAGGGGCATGTGCCTTGGTTGCGGGCACATCCCCAGTGGGGGGTGTGCAGGAGGCGGCTGATCGATGTTTCTCTCTCATCGATGTTTCTAACTCTCTATCCCTCTCCCTTCCTCTCTGTAAAAAATCAATAAAATATATTTTTTAAAAAAAGGGGACTGACTATACATTATGTTTGTATTCGAGAACATGTTGAGAATCAGAGGTGAGGCTTAGAAACTGGCTCATGATTGTGAGTATCGGCTGTGTGTTCAGATTTCCAGGACTGTGTTGGAAGCCAGGCTTTAAGTAGACCTTTGATGAGGCAGTGTGGGGTTGTTTTCCAGCGTCACTCATCAGACTCCTGTTCTGCATTCTCAGGAGGAGACTAAGGCCCAGTGGTGTGTGTTCGAGTTGGATAGGCCTGGCTTGGATTTCTAGTTTGCCCTTTGCCAGGATTAAAAGAAATAATGGACATACTAGTAAAGTGTAAGGTGCAGCACCAGGCACATAGCTCCCTAAAGAGCTGTTCTTAGGTGGTGGGGTTAGTGAGGATTAGAAAAAATATATAAACCACTTGGCACCATTGATGAGGCAGTATGGGATTGTTTTCCAGTGACACTCATCAGACTCCTGATGAATCATCAGATGAGTTGTTGCTACAGTTTATAAGTTACAGTTGAACTTGCAAAATACAAAAATATATAAAGCACCATGCACTCCCCAGAGGTAAGTTTTTCTTTGCATATACAACATATTCACGTGTATATAGGGATAGAACTGTTAAAGTTTTCTTTTTCTTTCAAGAAAAATACTAGCCGAAACCGGTTTGGCTCAGTGGATAGAGCGTCGGCCTGTGGACTGAGGGGTCCCGGGTTCGATTCGGGTCAAGGGCATGTACCTGGGTTGCAGGTGCATCCCCGGTGGGAGATGTGCAGGAGGCAGCTGATCGATGTTTCTCTCTCATCGATGTTTCTAGCTCTCTATCTCTCTCCCTTCCTCTCTGTAAAAAATCAACAAAATATATTTAAAAAAAAAAGAAAAGAAAAATACTAATCTGCAACTCTCCTTTTTCACTGACCCATTTTGAGCACTAGCACTGGCTTACCTTGAACTTTGATCAAGCTTCTCCCTCCTGTGGAGCCAAGGTGGAGAGGACCGAGAGACCGGAGGCTCTGGACCGGCCCTGAGCTCTGTGCTAAGAGGCTGGGCTGGGACTGGGAATGACATGGGGTGGCCCAGCCTAGGAGGCTCATTTGTAACCCTAGAGGTTTTCTTCCTTCTGCAGATGGTGGAAGAGAGTGAAGAACGGCTCACAGAGGAGCAGATCGAAGCGCTCCTCCACACGGTCACAAGCATTCTGCCTGCAGGGCCAGAGGCTGAGCAGAAGAAAACTACCGGCTGTGACGTGACAATGGATGAAGAGGACCTGGCATAGAAGAGCACAACTGGGCCAAGCATCTCATGAAGTTGAAAGGCCAGCAGCTGTTTTTCAGACAGAGGACTGTTTGTTTAGTTTTACCCTCTATCCCAACAGACCTGATTTCATGGTTGGTTAGTTGGGTAAATCACAAAAATAAGCCTTTCTAAAAAATAAACTGAAGAGAGAAATATCTTTGCATCCAGGAGAAGAAACATGGTGAAGACAGGCTGAGGTTGTCAGGGCAGAGAGCTAAAGAAAGGAGGGCCTAGTCAAAGAGGACAATGACTGGGGAACCCTCTGTGGGAAAAATAATTCTTTTGTGGCCTTTGCCACAATTGTGAGAAAGTCCTTTATATGCCGCTAGTACAATACTTGCATTGCCTTTGTGGGCTGTCCAACAAATTATCTTCATCTACTTCCTCAGGGACTTCCCAAGCAGGGGCGCAGAGTGCTGTTGGGATGAGAACTGAGTTAGCAGAATCCAGTTAGGTGGCTAATCACTCCTAGACCAGCTCTAGGTAAACGTGAGCTGCTGAACTTGACTCACCTTAGAGCAGGGGTTCTCAACCTGTGGGTCGCGACCCCTTTGGGGGTCGAACGACCCTTTCACAGGGGTCGCCTAAGACCATCGGAAAACACATATATAATTACATATTGTTTTTGTGATTAATCACTATGCTTTCATTATGCTCAATTTGTAACAATGAAATTGGGGGTCACCACAACATGAGGAAATGTATTAAAGGGTCACGTCATTAGGAAGATTGAGAACCACTGCCTTAGAGGAATCTTTTCCTCGAGAACGGCAGAGATAAAAAAAGAACAGGTCTGCCAACCTTTCATCAGGTCTAAAGGCCCTTTTCCTCTATGGCATGGGCTTTGTTTACCAGCCCACTATTTAGACTTAAATGTTCAGGCACAGCTCATTCCAACTGAAAAGGCACTTCAAACTGATTGACTGGCAACAAATGCAGTGTTGGTTGCCTTTTTGACTGCCCTGGGCAGGTGCCTCCTTGGAGACCAGGTGAGCTTCATTTGCACAACTGGCAAATTAATCGCATCTTTAAAAAGGGTACAATTATGCACTCTTTTCATAGAATATGTAAGAAATAGAGGTTGATTAATGAGAATTTGAATTTATTGGTTATTGCAGGGTTTCAGTTTTTAAATTTTTTAAATATTTTGATAATTATGTGAAGAGCTTGTTAAAAATATTCAAGCATTAGAGAGTTTAGTAGCTCCCAGATATGTGATTGCTTTTGGTCCTAGGAATATTGAAAGCAAATCTAATTTCCCACATTCACTCTTCTCCCTATTTGGGGAAGAAAATGTCCATAGACATTAATTTTCCAAATTGGCACTCATTTGTTGTAAGATGACATATTTTCAGTGCTACTGTTAATTGGATTACTTCCCATTCCCTGTGATTTCTAGGTTTTTATTTTCTTTACCTCCTTCTCTCTCCCAGTTGTAATTGTGTCAGTCTTAACCTTATCATCTAAGGATCAGGGAGATCTGCTTACAGGCAACATTAAATGAACAGGACATTTATTTTTAAATCTTTCTTGAGTATTGGGAATTTTACCAGGGGCTATTTTTGTTAGTCAAGGCATACATGTGCTTATGTATTGTTTCATGTTAACCATGAGTGTGTTAGATTTTTTTTGCTTGGTGGATTTAAGGCTTAATCCATTTAAAAATAAATTGTTTCCAGGTGACTGCCAACTTGTTTTTTTTTTTAATATATATTTTTATTGATTTCAGAGAGGAAGCCAGAGGGAGAGAGCATTATTGGTTGGCTGCCTCCTGCATGCCCCCCACTGGGGATCGAGCCCGCAACCTGGGCATGTACCCTGACCAGAATCGAACCTGAGATACTTCTGTCCACAGACCAATGCTCTATCCACTGAACCAAACTGTCTAGGGTCAGTCAACTTGTGTTATTTTTATAGATCTTGAAAAGTGTGTTTTGCCATGGATAGAAAGAAATCAAGTGAAATATGACTTGGAGTTTAAAATATATGATTAAGAAAACAATGGAATCTACTTAGATCTAACTTCTATGTTGGATTTCAGGAAAATTTTTAGTCTCTACATTGGGATCTGAATGTAGCCTCAGTTTCTGATTAAACCACACAGACTCTGGAATACTTACCTTTCATCAGAACCACATTCTGTGTAATATTCCTGTCACATTAATAATGAACACTTTAGAAGAAAAAGTCATAATTTATACAAACATTTGGGAAGGGAACTGGGGAGTCTGGGAGAATCACTTTTCATTTTATATTCTATACTACTAGCCCATCATGTGATATGGCACTCAGTAGGCCGCTCACTGCTTCCGGGGGAGCCGGTGGGAACCGCAGCGCGCCGCCAGGAACCACGTTGCTTTCACGGGAGGCGGGAGGGACCCGTGTTCATTCTACGGGAGCCAGGAGGGACCCACGCCGATTCCACGGGAGGTGAGAGGCGGGTCCATCGTCTCCTCTCTGAGCCCATGCTTGGCCATGGAAGCTGTGGGCCAGCTCCCCCGTCCCCGTCTGTGTCCACTCTGGCTCTAGGGGGCCGGCCTGAGCCGGGTGTGGCGACAAAGCAAGCATTCTGCCAGGCTGCTCATGCTGCCTGCTCTCAGCAGCTCCCCCACCCCCCTGGGACTGGGGGACTCCCATGGGGCTGAGAGGACACCACCATATTTGTGACAGAGTGACAGTTAATTTGCATATTGCCTTTGTCTTAGGATGGTTTCAGTTTTTGACCATGTGACCAGTTTTGTTCTTTAAAAAGAAAGAAGTATGCCCATTTGCATGTAAAAGTTGTTGAATGTGTAGTTGACAGTTAAATCTTGTCTCAAACATGGAGGCTGAAGCCCGGCTCGGTCACTAGGAGAGACGGCACTCAGGGAAGCTGGTACAGGCCCTGCAGCCTGGCAGGAGAAACATTCTGAAATGTCCTAATTAATTGCAGCAGGCCGGAGAATGGGAGAGAGAGCAGGGAGGTTAACAGAGCTGAGGGCCAGAACAAACAAATGTCTGTTCATATTCCTGAGTGTATGTTGAAATTTTGAATCAATTTCCAGCCTGCACTTTCTGCTTTTAGAGAATAGACAACCACCACATGCTACCACATCTTGTTTCTGGGCTGTTGCCCACAACCAATCCAAAAGTACTTCTTTTTAGGGACTATGCACCTATTCCAGAGCTTCTCTGATTTACCTCCCAATTCCTTTATCTATAGCCATGTAAATTCTTTCAAAACAACCTCAGCCTTTCTTCCCCAAACTGTATAAAAGAGCCCTGTCGTCTCCAGGATGGTGGACATGCTTGTCTCCATCTACCCCTGTTGCTGGTGGTTCAGGCTACAGGCACCAGGAACTGGTGCTTTTTCTGGCTAGCATTTGGCTCAGTGAACCCTTTCAGAAAGACTTTTGGCCTCAAAGGTTACTGTTTAACAAGCACATGAAGAAGGTAAGGTTTTTGAGAACTAATGCAGGTCTCTGGCCCAATGACTATATATTTAGGTCTACCAGCCTTTGTTATTTGACTTTTGTAGGCTCTCAGAAATTTTTTTCTTAAATAGATATGTCGTTTTTGTTTGTTTTTAAAAAATTGATTTTAGAGAAGAAGGGAGAGAGAAAAAAAAACCACTGATCTGTTGTTCCACTTATTTATACATTCATTGGTTTATTCTTGTTTGTGTCCTGACTGGGATTGAACTTGAAACCTTGGTGTATCTGGATGATTCTCTAACCAACTGAGCTACTCAGCCAGGGCTCTATTTTTCTTTTAAAGTAAAGTTCTGGTTTTTAACATGGAGAGATTTTTTTTAGTTATCTGTCAGGAGGGTGCTACTGAGCTATTTAAAAATTAAGTTGACTCCTAGTTAGATTTTACCCAAATATTTAACTTGTCTCTTTGTTTAAATTACAGTATGACCCACTGCCACCTCAGATGACTTCCCATTTATTCAGGGCTCATTTATAAAATAATGGGTTCCATTTCCTGAATCAGTCATTATGTAACCATACCAGCTCTCAAGAGCTTGTACCCTTGTCAGAGTGGAATAAATTAATGCTCCAGTATATTCTTTGCTAAATCATTTTCTCCCCTGAAACCAAATTAACACAGTAAATTGATTATTTCTCAGTAAACTATAAACTGGATCACATACCCTGAAAGGAATCAGCAACCTTATTTAATCACACAATGGACAAAGGAGATTAAAGGAAGCAAAACTGCCTGGAGATCCGTTTATATCTTTTTTAAAATTAAGATATATTTCATATACCTACCATAAAATTTACCCCTTTAAAATGTACCATTCAGTACTTTTGAGTATAATCACATAAGGTTGTACAACCATCATCTAATTCCAGAATGTTTCCAATCAATCCCAAAATGTAAGAGCTTAAACCAGCCGTGGGCAAACTACGGCCCGTGGGCCAGATCCGGCCCGTTTGAAATGAATAAAACTATTGAAATAAAAGACCATACCCTTTTATGTAATGATATTTACTTTGAATTTATATTAGTTCACACAAACACTCCATCCATGCTTTTGTTCCGGCCCTCAGGTCCAGTTTAAGAACCCATTGTGTCCCTCGAGTCAAAAAGTTTGCCCACCCCTGGCTTAAACTGTAAAATGGGAAAAGCTGCAAAACATTGGATTTGGCAAAGATTTCCTGGATGTGCACAGGCAACAAAAGAAAAATAGGTAAAGTGACCCTCATCAAAATTTAACACTTTTCATGCACCAAAAGACACTCAAGAGGATGAAAAGGAACCAACAGAATGGGAGAAAATGTTTGCAAATTATACTAGTACATCTGATAAGTAATTATTTTTTCTTTTTTTAGAGCTCCTATAATGATCTATAATAATAAAAGGGTAATATGCTAATTAGACCAGACATCCTTCCTGATGAAGCCAGGGCAGAGGAAAGCCAGCCCGGGTCCCTGGTGCCTGCTGGTGGCTGGAGGAGGGAAGCAGCCTGGGCTGCAGGTGCCTGCCGGCGGCCCAACGTGGGAAGTAGCCCGGATGCCTGGTGCCTGCCGGCGGCCGGAGGAGGGAAGCCCAGGTCCCGGGTGCTGGAGGGAAGCTGGTTCTGGCAGCTGGGGGAAGGAAGGCCTGCTCTTGCATGAATTTTTGTGCATCGGGCCTCTAGTTTTATTATTCTAGTAAATATGTTTTTTTGGAGTAAGTTTTGTATCAAAACTATCCTCAAACTTATTCTAAAGTAATAAAAGGAAAAATGGAACCAGGAACCATTTTTTTTACCTCAGTTTACCTTTTTATTTAGAGGGACATGAGCAATCCCCAGAATTACCCTGACTTATTTCCATAGTCATGGGCAGTGATACAGGGGCAAGTATCCTGTCATAGGGTGTATGCATGTGAATGGTGGGATATATGTATGTGTTGGGATGGTGAGTAGTAATAGAACAGGAGACTGGAAAAGGAAACTAGGAATAGACAGCTCTTTGGTAAAGGGATGTGCTTGTATCATACATGAGGTCACTCTAGTTGCAATATGAAGCCTGCATTGGCGGGAGGGGACATAAGGCAGGCGGCAAGGCCAGCTCCCCATTTACTGAACCAATCTAGGAGTGTAATTACTA